AAGCCTGTGGATGTACTACGATTGAGTGCGATGGCCTCACTTGTGGTACGGTCATTAGCACGATTGCACAAGATCACAGTGTAGAAGGCCACTACACTGTGGAACCAGCTTTCGGCACCTGTGAAGAGACACAGGATGCGCCGAAGGTTCACCACTTAAAGAGATCAAGTGGACTGGAGCACGGATGCTCACCAAGAAGGGTGCATCCAAAAAGAGAGATAAGTTTTGTTCAGGATGGACAACACGTTGAAGCGAGTTCGACTAATAGAGAGTCGATCGAAAGCAAACCAGATCAAATGAAAAAGAGTCGATCGAAAAGGACGTGACTGTGATAGTACACGTAACGGAAGAGAAATCCAGGGTTCCTGAGAGCAATAACTCCCGAGAGAGTTATGTTGAGGGTGTGAATCTTCAACTACTTGCGGATGTGTTTTACCAGGAACTCACCGAGTCAGTGAATGTCTTGGTAAAAGACGGACCAAATGTAGGTGCTTATACACTTGTCTGGTTACACTTCCGCAGTCAGCTTCGGAGGTAATCAAGTTGCCAACTCTAGAATCTATAAGATTCTTGCGAGATCTATGCAGTGAAAAGGTCAAGCAGATCTGTGTTTTCGTCACAGAGGACGAGTACATCGCCGATATCTCGTCGGCATAAGTGCTTGCTGAGATCGAACGGATTCTCAGTAGCTCATCGATGGACGAGTGTCCTCGATGAGAAGATCCGGATTGGGCGATACGCGTTTCATTCTTGGGATTGTATGAAAACAAATCCTTTGTATAAGGATTTGGTCGAGTTCAAAGATGTTTTCTTGGAATTCGTGCCATGCCCAAGGACAAAGACACTCGGCACAAGATCGAACTGATACCTGGTTCGAAGTACTGTGTCATGAAGCAGTGGCCACTGCCTCGTGAACAAGTACTTGCGATCGACAAGTTCTTTGCCGATCGTTTAGCTGCGGGTCATGTGAGGGAATCAACTTCCCCACATAGCTCTCTGACCTTCTGTGTGCGAAAAGCAACAGGAGGGTGGCGGATAGTGCACGCGTTCAACAAGTTGAATGCTGCAACGGTACCGGCTCGGACGCCGATACCAAGGAAGAACGTAATCATTGATGGTATGTCAAAGAGTACCATCTTTTCGTCCATGGATTTGATGGATGGCTTCTATCAAATCCTTATGCGAGAACGGGACATACCCTATACCGCATTGAGCACCCCCAGTGTTATGCTCTATGCTCTGGGAATGGCTAGTGATGCCACAGGGGCTAAGTATCGCCCCCGCAACGTTCAACAGATGTGTTACGAACCTGTTGCGATCGGTGCACGATTTTACACCGAGTTTCTTCGACGATGTCTTCGTCCATAGCTGGGCTATGGATGAAAAGACGGACGTGGAGGTTCATAAACTCCACGTCCGGAAGGTTCTTACTCTAATGCGAGAGGATAAGTTGTTCACGAACCTCAAGAATTGCAAATTCGCAGCGAACGAAATACCGCTTCTTGGCTGCATCGTGGGTTAAAACGGTGTACGCACTTTTCCGGAAAAGATCGACGCGATTAGCGACTGGCCTGTGCCAGTCGACGTCGAGAGACTTCGAAATTTTTTTTGATTAGCGGCGTAATTGCACAAATACTCACGCAACTATGCCGAGATGACCGTACATCTCTCTCGTCTGCTTAAGAAAAACGAGAGGTGGTCACGGAACGCTGAGTGTCAGCACATTTTTGGAGGCATCGAGAAAAGCTAGGTGCGATCGCCTGTATTGGCGTTGCAGACCAGGACAAATGATTCCATGAGGTCTGTGACGCCAGCGATTTTGCAATCGGCTGCGCGTTAATGCAGTACGACTCAAATGGCGTTGAGCGCGTCGTCTGCTACCACGTCAGCTGCAAGGAGCTGAGCAAAATTATCCAGTGCATGACAAGGAACACCTTGTCATGAAATATGCACCGGCTAAGTTTCGGCTATATCTTTTAGAAAAAAGGCTCTTCATCGTATATACCGACCATGCGTCGTTACGCACGGCCGTAAACAGTACACACCTCTCGCAACGAATAGCGAGGTGTATGTCTTTCTTCGCGGAGTACAAATTCTTCGTCGAGTGTAAACCAGGACGACTTAATTTCGTCGCTGATGCTCTTTTGCGTCGGCCTAATATTAAGCCTACTGCTCAACACAACAGTAGGGGCGATCCCACCGTAGCAACACTAACGTTGAGTGTTCCGTTTTCGAATCTGATCGACGACGTGCTGAAAGCATAAGCAGAAGATGAGTCTCTTTTGAGATTGATGGGTTACGTATACAATCCGTGTAATCAAGCTATAAAAATCTTAACGTCTCAATAACGCTCTTCAACCGGACAGCATTCGGTTTGTGATGGACTGCTGTACTTTACATCAGTCAACGGCGACACACCTCGTGTCTTCGTTCCTGCTCACGATGATTCGCGATTGCGCATCATGTATGAGTGTCACGATGCCGAAACCAGTGGGCATCGCGGTAGAGAAAAGACTAACCTCATGGTGAGTCGTGACTTCTACTGGCCCCACCAGTAGGAGTTTGTGCGGAAATTCAATCGCGCTTGCGAAGTTTGTCAACGGGTGAAGCCTTGTCATTTATCCCGCGCACCCTTGCAGCCTCTACCGATTCCGGAAAAGTGTTAGCAGTCCGTATCGATGGACTTCGTCTTCTGGTGTTTCAAAGACGTTCACATGAATTCTGGTATTCTTGTGTTTGTTGATCGGTTCAGCAAGATGGTACATCTTGTCGCTGAACCACAGTCAATCACAGCCCAGGGCTGTGCGCGTGTCTTTAGCGATACTATCTTCCGACTTCACGGGTAAACCCGTGAACTCACGTCTGATAGGGACCCCCGCGTCACAGCGGAGTTCCGGCAATTTGCGTTCCGTTCAATTTGAACACGTTTGAAGATGTCGACTTCTGACCATCTAGAAACAGATGGTCAGACGGAACGCGTCAACCGCGTCCTCGAGTAGATACTGCGAGGGTACGTCCACTCGTTTACGAGCTGGAGTGAGCTCTTGCCGATGGCGGAATTCGCCATCAACAACTCGGTCAATGCGAAGACAACGCATGCACCGTTTTTCGTAAATGGCTTACGCCATCCACGTTTACCCGCCTTCTTAGGTTGTGACTCTAGTTAAAACGGGGGGTGGACTCGCTCGAACTAAAATCAATTTGGTTCTAGCTCATCACACGTTGACAACGGTGTCGTCGTGATGGATGCCGATGTCGATGCGATCGATATCGAAGACGACGATGACGACGATGCTTGTACATTCAGCATATTGCCAATGAATGCTACAGTGAGGACGATGACGCTCTCACTGGTGTAAACAACATTCTTTCAGCAGTGCACACGAAGCGCACTGCTGTCAACAAGGATGACTCAACAGAAATATTTCTACTGAATCGCGAAGCGGTTGTCCGCTTCGTTTAAGACTCTATTGCAGATGTAATATGCAAGGAGAAAAGAAATGCAGATAAACATGGAAGAGCAAATGTTCTTCCATTTGATGAAGGAGACTTAGTTTTACTGTCCACAGTAAATCTACCAAAACTCGCAGTGAAAGAAATGGACAGCAGCAAATTACTTCCCAAGCATATCGGTCCATTTCGTCTGTTGCACCGAATGGGCAACGCATACACTTTCAAACTACCTTGTAGGATGCGTATGCATCCTACCGTTTTAAGTTGGTCGTCTCCGCCCGTACGACCAGTACGGGCACGTTCTGAGATGCATCGAACACCTCCGCAGTTAAGAGCCAAGACCACCTTCGAGTGGTCCCGTTTCAACAAGTCAGTCTGGTCGACTAGCGAAGTGACCTGCTCACGCAGATGAGCGATGTCCTGACGAGCTGGAGTCAGCTCGTAACGAAGAGAACGAAACAAACGTTCGTTCTCGAGTTGCGCGGACTCAAACGCGACACGATCGTTTGAACGATGGTGCACTAAGAAATTGTAACTATCCTTTTTAAGGTCATGGAGCCTATAACGACGAGTCCGTTCATGAGCCAGGTCATCTAGCAACTATTCCGTTAAATGGTTTAGCTCCTGAACATCAAGCTGATCCGACCCTCGATCAAAATCAGGTGTTCCCGCCGCCACCACATCCTTTGGAGGACTCAAGCGGTGGTCAAAGCTTCCTAGTGGAGCGTATTTTGAACCACCGCGATGTGAATGGCGTCCAGACGAGTAACCTCGTTCGCTGACGTGGCTATTTACCGGCCTGGGACAGCAGGGAGCCTCGTGCCCAGCTGATCATTGATGTTCTGGGTCTCGTCAAGCTATATGACGAGACCCACCCGCTGCGTTCGAAGAAGGGCCGTCGGAAAACAATCTTCCCGAACGCGAGCACAGGATTTGCAAAGTGTCATTTCCTTAGGCCATCTCGGAAGAGATGCGCGACCTCCAGAAGGGATCATTAGGGAGGAAGGCCTCCCTGGGGGCACGATTCGAGTTTTCCAGGCAAGTAGACATGAATCACCCCACGAGAGACAGGGCAATCCTGCCTCTCTTGACAATCGGTGCAACTTGTATCGTACACAGACTGGGTTACGCTTCTCAAACCTGATGTGAGCTGCATCAAGTTTACCGAGACAGGCCCCACGGCCAAAGCACTCGATGTTATGTACGAAGGCATTCCGTCCTTTCACCAAGGCTTTGCCGTCTCGAACACGGCTTCCATTGTACCACCGATGTTTAAAAAATGCATCGGTGAAGAACTCTTCCTCAGCACGGATAGTTTCCGTGCTGGAATGAGGTGGGAAAAGCTTTCTGCAATCGAACAACGGGATCAGATCCCGATCGGTAGTCATGCCAGCTAACCTGTCGAACTCATTGGATGACGTCATCCAATGAGACTCCACTTGAGGAGCGTGGCGCAGGACATTTCGGTCCCTGTTCACTTGATTGGTGCCAGCATGAGCACTGGCACCAGTGTAAACTTGATCCCTAAAATTACTCCGCTCGTGGTTTTACATTGGCGCATCACCACCATCCCCACGCATCCTATCGTTAAATGGACTTGCGTGAAGCGGAGATTCACCGGAATAATCACTCGATCCGAAGACCTCGGTCATGAAACTGCCGCGTTGACCAGAGCCAGTCAATCTGGCTCTTGCAGTGTCCGCCCCGGGTGATCCGGAGGCGTGAGGAGTCACATTCGAGTCGGATGCATCATCCAACTCGCCAGCATAGATGATCTCTATTGCAGACTCGTCTTGATAACAACTCGAGGTACTTGCTGCAGACGCAACAGATGTACCTGTCGAACGTGGTGACTCACCACGTGGAGGATTCACGACAACAGGCGACGAATCGCCTGCTGCTGAGGTGTGAGAGGCACTTTCCGCGGCAGCACGCATGCGTGCAGCCGCCCTTCATGCTGCTGCAGTAGCAGCTCGCGTGGTTTTGGAAACTATGCGTTGGATTGGCAAAAGAAAGAAATTTGACCAACAAGTGCTCCCTTTACCAGAGTGATCCAACGGTGGCCACCCTGTCCCAATCAATTTTAATTTAATAAACGGGTGATTGATGATTAAGGGGGGGGTTGATGTAATGGGGTAGCCCGTTACATGAATTTGACACCAAACATTGTCAGTTGGAATATTGTCTAGCATGACAATATTCTACCAAAATTATCCGAGGTGGATAATCTTGAAGGAATACTACCCCTTTTGATTAAAAATCATGCGCTGCTCCAATATTGGTTGATGTAAGACATATAAACCATTAATTACCACCAATCGCTGCTAAACGCGCGCAATGAGTGGTGAACAGGTTGTCGTCATACGACGGCGTAGTTTAATATAGTTGGAAAAAGATTAAAGTTATATTGATAGCTAAACTATACTAAATACAGTTCTTTTTTTACCTTTACTTGAACGAGTCGTCGAAGTAGATTAGCTTCCTCTGCACGTACTAGTGTACTTGAAGTTTCGTGGCTATAACGAGGTGAACCGTTACATAACAATTTATAAGAATTTGTTAATAGAATATAACTGTAAGAGTTATATTCTCAGAATATTGTCATAAGGACAAATATTCTGTAGCACTTACGAGTAGTTCCTAATTGGTTGATATAGGCCATTATATCAACCAACGAAGACGCGCCACGACATACGCACGCAATGAGTGGTGAGCAGGTAGTTGATACACACAATTGTATTCAGACATAGTCAGATGAGGATAAACAGTGGTTTATTAACAGACATTGACTATTATGAATACAGTTCTACTATCTGATTTAACTAAGTACTCGCTTCTTCTTACCGTCTTTCTCTGCACGTACCGGTGCACGTGAAGTTACGCGGCACCGCCTTATTCTGTCATCAGAATAAGTAGCTTGTACTGTCACCAGTACAAGCTTGAGGGTGCCCCGTTACACCTGGTAGCAATTTGTAGTCCGTCCAAGGACCACGTTCACATCTAACATGAAAATGTTAGATGATGAAGATGACCAAAGCTTTCACGCTACGCGTGACGGCTACTCCATTTGAGCGATGTCGAATGGGATGCGGTTGAACGGGTGGGTTCAGCCATGGGCATCCATGCTGTTAGCGTCCTGCTAGAGGATCTCAATAGAGATGCCCAACATGATACTATCGCCAAGTTCATTCAAAATGAACTTGACGCTGATCTCGAGAAAGTAGCCATGGTCGTTTGGGTCGTTGGAAGTCTTCAAGTCGCAGCTCAGTCAAACGTTTGAACCGCCTAGAGCTGAGTTCAGAGCTCAAACCGAACCCTTGAAGCTCAAACAGGGTAAGCGTGATGTGCACGCTTACGCGCCACATATACGACATCTTACGAGTTGTGTAAGTTCCAATCCAGTTGATGAATACACGTTGGTTTCGGTGTTCATGCAGGGTCTAGCGGATGGTCCCGTCAAGACTCACCTGTTCCGGCTTGAACTAGATTCACTAGAACGAGCCATTTCTATGGCGGAACAGAAAGACTGAAGTCTGAGACATGCTCGCGCCAGATCGACATCATATCATCCACCGAGACGACATGACAGCGGAGTTCCAGAGCCGATGGAATTCTGTTATGTAGAGAGCGAGAACGCTCGCTCTATAGACTACAAGAAGTTGCAAAAATGCAACAGATGTCAAAAGACAGGACACTACGCATACGAGTGTAGTGCCCCTCGTCCAGTGCCTCTCAACACTGGGCGTAGTGACCGTCCACCCATGAGAAAGGGGCACGGACGCGGGTCCGCTCTTGGTGCAAAGACGCAACAACGGGATGGACCGTCAAAAAACGGACAGGATCAGTAGGTGCGAAGCACCCTACTGGTCCAGCAACGTCAAGACAATTTGCAGGCCTCTTGATGAAGGTTGCTCCCAACACACGAACGTTGTGCGTTGCTGCTCTAGGTAATGAGATCTCACTCATTACCTTGAAACTCGAAGTGACAAATAAGTTGTCCCTTCGAGCTCTAGTCGATTGTGGGGCGTCCAACAATTTTGTGCGACGCCAACCGCTAGAAGATGGTCACTTCAAGTTTGTTGAATGTGACACACCTCCTACGAGGATGACGGTACGTCTTGCGACAGGCGCATCTGTAACCGTCATGAAGCGTATAGTGAAAATCCACTATACGCTAGAAGATACCCAATATGACGATGACTTTTTCGTGTTGGATTTGGATGACAAATTTGATGTCATCCTTGGAATACCGTGGCTCAGAAGGTACGAACCACGGGTAAACTGGCAACATCGGACAGTAACGATGCCTGCCGCTTGTTCATCAGATGGCCATCTGATAAACGTTTTGGAGCGTCCACAAGCGTGTGGATGTTCTACGAGTGAGTGCGATGGCCTCACTTGTGGTACGGTCGTTAGTACGACTGCACAAAACCTTAGTGTACCAAACGGTTACACTTCGGAGCAAAGTTCCGGCGGCTGTGACGAAACACAGGCTGCGCTGAAGGTACACCACTCGACCAAGTCGGGTGGACTGGGACAAAGATGTATCCCTAGCGGGGAACATCTAGAAGAGAAACAATCGATCGTTCAGGTTAAGCGAAACGATAATCCTAGATCGATTGGAGAGTCTTTCGTAGAGGATCTCGCTGTGGTTGCGCAACCCCAGCTAGAGGAAGTAAAGGGAATAAGTCCCAAGATTACAATACGGCGGAAATAAGTTCCCCGAAACCCGCGGGAATAAGTCCCCGGGAAGCCGAAGGAATAAGTCCTTCGAGGCCTGAGGGAATAAGTCCCCAGGAAATGACAGAGACATTGAATGTCCTAGTCAATGACGGATCAAGTGTGGGCGCTTATACACTTGATCTGATTGCGCCTCCGAAGTTGACTTCGAAGATCACTCAGTTGCCAACGCTCGAACACTCCTTTGATGGTATCAAGCAGAGCTTGATACAATCCACAGTCCTAGCAATAGCCGATCAGGACAGGCCATTTCATGTGGTCTGTGATGCCAGCGATTTCGCAATCGGCTGTGCATTAATGCAGTACGATCTTGAAGGCGTTGAACGCGTCGTCTGCTATCAGTCGCGTCAGCTGCAACCAGCTGAGCGGAACTATCCAGTGCATGACAAGGAACTCCTTGCCATGAAGTATGCACTCGCGAAGTTCAGAGTCTATCCATCAGGAGATACACCCTTCATTGTTTACACTGACCATGCGTCATTACGCACGGCAGTGAACAGCCCGCACCTTTCACAAAGAATGGCGCGGTGGTTGTCATTCTTTGCAGAATACAACTTTACGGTCGAGTACAAACCAGGACGACTTAATGTCGTCGCTGATGCACTCTCACGTCAGCCCGACTTTGAACCAGTCGTGAAACCCAACAGTGGGACAGCCACTGTTGCGATTATGGCGTCCACAATACCATCTTCAACGTTGTATGATGATGTGAGGCGGGCGTATGCCCAAGATGGTGAGATTGTGAAGTTGTTGACACATCTCTCCCAAGCATCTCGAGAATCGTTGAAACGATTGTCGCCTGCGTATCGATCTGCATCAGATCGATACACTACTCGCGACGGTTTACTGTATTATACAGCCGTTACTGGTGACACACCACGTGTTGTCATTCCAGATGACACTGATTTGCGTTTGCGGATCATGTTCTAGTATCACGAGGCTCCTATAGGAGGACATCGTGGCCGGGAGAAAACAAATCTCACGGTGAGTCGAGACTTTTACTGACCCCGCCAGTATCAGTTTGTGCGAAAGTACGTTCGCGCATGCGAAGTCTGTCAACGAGTGAAGTCAAGTCCTTCACGGCGTGCACCTTTACAGCATCTACCAGTTTCGGCTGAGTGCTGGGATTTCATCTCAATGGATTTCGTCTTCGGGTTACCCAAAGACGCACGCGGGAATACGGGTATTCTTGTATTTGTTGGCAAATTCAGCAAAATGGTATACCTAGTGGCTGTACCAGAGTCAATCACGGCAAGTGGCTGTGCTTGTGTCTTTATCGACACCATCTTCCGACTTCATGGGATGCCCCGTGAACTCGTATCAGATAGAGATCCACGCTTTACGGCTGATTTCTGGCGTTCCGTGTTCAAATCACTCAGAACGCGCTTGAAGATGTCGACATCTGATTATCCAGAGTCAGATGGTCAGACAGAACGAGCCAATCGTGTCCTCGAAGAGATAATTCGAGGATACGTACACTCCTTTAAGAGTTGGAGTGAGTTCTTGCCCATGGCAGAGTTTGCCATTAACAACTCGGTGCGTGCGTCCATGACTCCTACACCGTTTTACGTGCATGGCTTACGCCATCCGCACGTACCCACCTTACTAAAGTGTAACTCTGGTTTAAGGGGGGGGAGAGACTCGCGCGAGCAAAAAACCGATTTGGTTCACGCTCATCACGCTCTGACGAAGAAGTCATTGCGTTTGATGCCGATATCGGCAACATCGATATCGAAGAAGATGATGCCAGTGAGAGTGCGGAAGCCCTCACTGAAAAAAATATTGATGTTGCTGCAGTGCACTCACAGCGCACTGAAGCTAACGAGTCATCAGATGAGTTCATACTGGCTCGTGAAATGGGAGTCCGTTTTGAGCAAGACTCCATCGCCGAAGCGGTGGATAAGCAAAAGCAAAACGCTGACAAGAATGGAAGGGCAAACACTCTTTTACTTAATAAAGGTGACTTAGTCCTACTGTCTACGGTTACCCTACCAAAGCATGTAGTGACTAACTTGGGTAGCAGTAAACTACTACCCAAGTACATCGGCCCATTTCGTGTATTGCACCGCCTAGGCAATGCATACACGATCGAGTTGCCACGTAAGATGCGAACGCATCCCACGTTTTACGTTGGTCGGCTTAAGCCGTACCATCAGTACGCTGCTTCTTCCGATGAAGAACGCCCTTGCGCTCAAGTATCTCGCAGAGAGCCTTGTGCTCCAGATGGTGGATATCAACAAGGGTATGAAGAGCAGTTATCTCATCCCGAGACCGATCAACAATCCCACGAGCTACCCTTATCTCGTTACACAGAGATGTCAAAGATCTCTCGTTCTCAAGCTGAGCAAAAGCAAACTCAGCTCGATGCTTCAAGACAGTTTCCGCCAGTTGAAGAGGCCTGTCCCGCTCATGCTCGAGGTCGCCGTGCAACGCAAGGGTTACGCGATCAAAGAAGCTCTCGGGAACACACGGATCCCCATGATCGTGTAGAGAGCGTTTTTCCTCCTCCTCCACCTCCATTAGAGGACTCTCGCGGTGGCCAGCGCTATCTGGTTAGAGCAGCTGTTGAACCACCGCGATGTGAACGGACGTCGGACGAGTTATCTCGTCCGGTGGCGCGGCTATCCCCCATCCTGGGATACTTGGGAGCCCCGCTCCCAACTGATGATCGACGTACTGGGTCTGGTTGAGCAGTACGACGCGGCATATCCTGTGCCACAGAAGGACCGCCGGAGGAAGTCTTCCCGGCACGGTCGTAAAGGGATTTCAGGCTGTCAATCCCTTCGTACATCTCAGTAGAGATACGTACGCGCCACCACGGGCTAGTAAGGAGGTAAGCCTCCTTAGGTGCTCGTGCAGAGTTGTTCACACAACATGGGCACGAGTCTCCCCAAGAGAGGCAGGGTAATCCTTTCTCCCTTGACAGACGATGCAGCTTGTAGCGTGCACCTGCCGGGGTTCTCTTCTCAACTAATCACGAGCTTTGATAAGTTTGTCGTTCCAAACGTCACGACCTACATCCTCAAGGTTATGGATGTAGGCGTTCCACGCTTGAAGTAGTGAGGGACCATCACGCTTGTGATTCCCACTGTACCGTCGATGTCTAAAGAAAGCATTGATGAAGAAATCGTTTTCAGCGCGATAGTTTTTCGCACTGGGGTCAAGGTGATGGATCCTTGACGAATCGAACAACCGTGTTCGATAACGATCACTCGTCGTCGCCGAAAAGCGATCCATGACAGATTATGGGGGCAGCCATGCCTTCTTTTCGGGAGCGAGACGCAACACGTTGAGTTCCTGCTCTTCTTGCGACGTGCCGACAGAAGTACTGGCACCTCGTTGCGAAGTGGTGTCAATAGGAGAACCGACACCACTGTGAGCGCCCGAGTCTTGCGATCTCGAGCGCCTACGCTTTGGCAATGGATCATCTGATTCGTCAGACAAACCAATATGCTACGGCGCGTAGCATCATCCATGCCACGCTTGGCAGGCGGCTTGGTTTCTACCGCCTTCGATACAGATCCGTCTTCTGTATCAGGAGAGTATGAGACACCGAGTTCGTACTCTGTGAAGACATGAGTGTCTTCATTACGAGCGTCTGCATCACCAGGTGACACAGGCTGAGTCGCTTCAGCAACCGATGAGACATCAGTTGCTGTGGTTTCTGCTTTGGCGTCCGCACAGAGACGTGCAGACGCACTCTCAGCGGCTTTGTTCGTGCATCGCTTGGGCTTGTTAACCATGCGATGGATTGTTGGAAAGTGGACTCGGACCAACAAGTGCAAACCCCGTCCCAAATGATTTGGGATGAGTATTCATTAAGTCAATCAGTCACTAAAGTGACTGATGGTTAAGGGGGGGGTGATGTAACGGGGTGAACCGTAACGTAACAATTTATAAGAAATTGTTAATAGAATATAACTGTAAGAGTTATATTCTCAGAATATTGTCATAAGGACAAATATTCTGCAGCACTTACGAGTAGTTCCTAATTGGTTGATATAGGCCATTATATCAACCAACGAAGACGCGCCACGACAGACGCACGCAATGAGTGGTGAGCAGATTGTTGATATACACATTTGTATTCAGACATAGTTAGATGAGGATAAATAGTGGTTTAATAACAGACATTAACTATTATGAATACAGTTCTACTTTATACTTTAACTAAGTACTCGCTTCTCCTTACCGTCTTCCTCTGCACGTACGAGTGTACGTGAAGTTCCGAGGCACCGCCTTATTCTGTCATCAGAATGAGTAGCTTGTACTGTCATCAGTACAAGCTTGAGGGTGCCCCGTTACAGTTATGACCATTTATGAGATCCATTACCTGTAACGGGGCACCCTGAAGCTTGTACTGATGACAGTACAAGCTACTCATTCTGACGACAGAATAAGGCGGTGCCGCGTAACTTCTCGTGCACCGGTACTTGCAGAGGAAGACGGTAAGAAGAAGCGAGTACTTAGTTAAAGTAGAAAGTAGAACTGTATTCATAATAGTCAATGTCTGTTAATAAACCACTATTTATCCTCATCTAACTATGTCTGAATACAAATGTGTATATCAACTACCTGCTCACCACTCATTGCGTGCGTCTGTCGTGGCGCGTCTTCGTTGGTTGATATAATGGCCTATATCAACCAATTAGGAACTACTCGTAAGTGCTGCAGAATATTTGTCCTTATGACAATATTCTGAGAATATAACTCTTATACTTATATTCTATTAGCGATTTGTAATAAATTGTTATGCAACGGTTCACCCCGTTATATTACAGGTATTTCATGTACATTAGCCCTGAGCCAGATGCTCTTCGTCTAGTGGTGTGTCTGGGCACATTCATGCATGTTGTAAGCTCGAGCCGACCTGAAGATCCACGAAGTTGACCACGAGGTGATGGTCAGGGTTACGCCAAGATAGATCACTAAGATTCAGGCAGTGGTTACAGGATTCTAAGTCACGCGTCCTCTGTCCCCTGAATCAAGTTGCTACGAGCGCAAGCGCAGCCCCTCTACTCGGTAGAGTGCTCACAAGAATGTATCACTAGAATTGGTCTACGAACAATTCTACCGGCCCTTTTTGGAGTGCTTAGCCGTGACGCCTGACGTCATGAGCCAGCGGAGTGAGAAAGCTAGGAGTAGTAAGGCTGTGTCATGGTAGATGACACGAGGTATTAATCCCACAACCAAACATTTTTTTAATGATATGTAGCTATTATAGACAGTCTGTGCCTCTCCTTTTTGAGATTTGCCCGTATTTTAAGTCTCCGTTTCTGGACCTTCGGTGTTTTGCCGTCGCAAACGCCACCCCAGTAGAAGTACTGGATTCTGTGTCGTGTTTACGGCATGATCGGACTACCCACACTAGAAACAACGGAAATCCTTGCAGTGGGAGGGATGTCAGCTGCTGGACCAGTAGTTTAAATCCCAATCTGCCCGCCTTTTGACTTCACATTGCAAGCAGAATCGAGAAAAGCTGTGACTAATTGTGTAGCACTATGAAGTCATTAGGTTAATGACGAGATCTCGCTCTGAGTTGTTTATTCTAAATCGGAACGTAGCGGTGCTAGATCGGAGGACAACTTGCAGAGGGATGGAGTTTTAGAGGGTGTTAGTGACGCTGTGATGAACCCACGATAACTATCAGCTGACAAAACAAACCTCAGCACGACGCGCGCTGCTGGAAATGGAATCACGAGATGGTGATTCCCTCCCGCAGCGTCGTCCGAATATCGTCTTGGTGTCCCCATCGTATCACGCGTGCACTAGGATTGCGCATGCAGTCTGGTCGACCCTTGCGCTTGTCATCTTTAATTTCGTTCCGCAATTTGACTTTGTTTGCACACTACAAGTCATCACATCTACTAGAATGAACGTTAAGTTCATCGCGTGTATTGCCATCACCATTGTTGTCATCCCCTCAAGCTCGAGCCAGCAGGATACGTTGGTGTGCCATGATGGTCGAATGGTACGCGCAGCTCTTGAAAGCATTCAAAAATCCTGCCAGATTAATCGCAGGAGCGAGTATCAAGTCAAAAAATGCTGCGCCGACGTGATTGTTAGCTTGACATGCCCCGAAAGACTAAACTGCAAACCACCTAAAGTTGCGGCAGATGCAATACTATTTTGTCTACAAAATCGGTCTATACCTACAATGGATGAGTGCTGCGCGGGGCATTGCTCAGTCAAACATTAGTGGCCGTAGTGTGTCCGTCACCTGGGGGTTTAAGGGATCGATGGTAAGTTCATTAGCGAGTAGGGTTTATTTAAGCTGTCCTAGCCCACTACTTACCCTTTGAGATTTCGAGATGACAATGCCATAGCTTGAGTACGAGTATGGAATATGAAAGCTACTCCTTGACCCGCCTATCAATTTGCTGTACATGTGTCGCCCTCATTGCTGGGCCTTCTATTTCTACTTGTTCGTGCGTTCTTATAAATGATCGCTGTCGTTGCATTGTTTGTTGCTTTGAATGACCGCATTCGCTAAAATGTTTGCTTTGCTAGCAAACAGAACTACACAAGAAACAATTGTCATAATTTATAGGCACTACTACTTTTATTGCATTCACAAGTTTAGAATTGAATGATCTTATTATAAAAATCGCATTAATAAACTAAAAAGATTAACTATTCTAGAGGTTATGCAACCTTCTCAACTTATTAATAATAATTTAATTACTAATCAAGATATAAATTTAAATAATTTTTGATACACTTTAGGGGCGATAGTAAATTGAGTCATCATCTTTATTTTTTCTTTCCGGAGGTGAAAATGCAGAAACAGTTGAAATAAAAAATATAAGTATGGGTCACGATTTTTTTGTAGATAAATATGAATAAGACTATTACAGATAATAGTATGCCACATATGTTGAATACTATGATTATGAATGATAATCACATGGTAGATGTAATTTATTCTTTGAGCTGTCCAATACATTACGAAGAAACCTTGGTACATCTGCGATGGCGTAGATAAAAACTTTCGCTGACGTGTAACTCAAAAATCAAGTCGATGTTTGAGAGACTCTTTTCCAATGTCCACAGATATTAATTCTAGATAGTTATAGTAGGCTTAGCTTGCTTACAAACCGAAGCATCTTCTATTCGACTTGTTCGTGGTTGTAAAGCGTGTGTAACGGGGCACCCTTTGTCTGGGTGCCACTGTAACGGGGCACCCTCAAGCTTGTACTGATGACAGTACAAGCTACTTATTCTGATGACAGAATGAGGCAGTGCCGCGTAACTTCACGTACACTGGTACGTGCAGAGGAAGACAATAAGTAGAAGCGAGTACTTGGTTAAAGTAAAAAGTAGGACTGTGTTCATAATTGTCAATGTCTGTTATTAAACCACTGTTTATCCTCATCTGACTATGTCTGAATACAATTGTGTGTATCAACTACCCGCTCACCACTCATTGCGTGCGTATGTCGTGGCGCGTCTTCGTTGGTTGATATAATGGCCTATATCAACCAATTAGGAACTACTTGTAAGTGCTACAGAATATTGTCCTTATGACAATATTCTGAGAATATAACTCTTATAGTTATATTCTATTAACAAATTCTTATAAATTGTTCTGTAACGGTTCACCCCGTTACATCACCCCCCCTTAACCATCAATCACTTTAGTGACTGATTGACTGAATGGATACTCGTCCCAAATCATTTGGGACATGGTTTGCACCTGTCGGTTCGAGTCCACAGTCCATCAGTTTCATCGCATGGTAAAACAAGTCCATGCGGTGCACGAACAAAGCCGCTGAGAGTGCGTCTGCACGTTTCTGTGCGGACGCCGAAGCAGAAACCGCTGCAACTGACGTTTTATCGGTTGCTGAAGCGACTCAGCCTGTGTCACTTGGTGATGCAGGTGCTCGTCATGAAGACACTCATGTCTTCCCAGAGTATGAGCTCGGTGTCTCATACTCTCCTGATACAGAAGACGGATCTGTATCGAAGGCGGTTAAAACCAAACCTTCTGACAAGCGTGGCATGGATAATGATACGCGTCGTAGCATATTGGTTCGTCTGACGAATCAGATGATCCATTGCCAAAGCGTAGGCGCTCGAGGTCGCAAGACACTCGGGCGCTCACAGTGGTGTCGGTTCTCCTATTGACACCACTTCGCAACAAGGTGCCAGTACTTCTGTCGGCACGTCGCAAGAAGAGCAGGAACTCAACGTGTTGCGTCTCGCTCCCGAAAAGAAGGCATGGCTGCCCCCATAATCTGTCATGGATCGCTTTTCGGCGACGACGAGTGATCGTTATCGAACACGGTTGTTCGATTCGTCAAGGATCCATCACCTTGACCCCAGTGCGAAAAACTATCGCGCTGAAAACGATTTCTTCATCAATGCTTTCTTTAGACATCGACGGTACAGTGGGAATCACAAGCGTGATGGTCCCTCACTACTTCAAGCGTGGAACGCCTACATCCATAACCTTGAGGATGTAGGTCGTGACGTTTGGAACGACAAACTTATCAAAGCTCGTGATTAGTTGAGAAGAGAACCCCGGCAGGTGCACGCTACAAGCTGCATCGTCTGTCAAGGGAGAAAGGATTACCCTGCCTCTCTTGGGGAGACTCGTGCCCATGTTGTGTGAACAGCTCTGCACGAGCACCTAAGGAGGCTTACCTCCCTAATAGCTCGTGGTGGCGCGTACGTATCTCTACTGAGATGTACGAAGGGATTGACAGCCTGAAATCCCTTTACGACCGTGCCGGGAAGACTTCCTCCGGTGGTCCTTCTGCGGCACAGGATGTGCCGCGTCGTACTGCTCAACCGGACCCAGTACGTCGATCATCAGTTGGGAGCGGGGCTCCCAAGTATCCTAGGATGGGGGATAGCCGCGCCACCGGACGAGATAACTCGTCCGACGTCCGTTCACATCGCGGTGGTTCAACAGCTGCTCTAACCAGATAGCGCTGGCCACCGCGAGAGTCCTCTAATGGAGGTGGAGGAGGAGGAAAGACGCTCTCTACACGATCATGGGGATCCGTGTGTTCCCGAGAGCTTCTTTGATCGCGTAACCCTTGCGTTGCACGGCGACCTCGAGCATGAGCGGGACAGGCCTCTTCAACTGGCGGAAACTGTCTTGAAGCATCGAGCTGAGTTTGCTTTTGCTCAGCTTAAGAACGAGAGATCTTTGACATCTCTGCGTAACGAGCTAAGGGTAGCTCGTGGGATTGTTGATCGGTCTCGGGATGAGATAACTGCTCTTCATACCCTTGTTGATATCCACCATCTGGAGCACAAGGCTCTCTGCGAGATACTTGAGCGCAAGGGCGTTCTTCATCGGAAGAAGCAGCGTACTGATGGTACGGCTTAAGCCGACCAACGTAAGACGTGGGATGCGTTCGCATCTTACGTGGCAACTCGATCGTGTATGCATTGCCTAGGCGGTGCAATACACGAAATGGGCCGATGTACTTGGGTAGTAGTTTACTGCTACCCAAGTTAGTCACTACATGCTTTGGTAGATTAACCGTAGACAGTAGGACTAAGTCACCTTTATTAAGTAAAAGAGTGTTTGCCCTTCCATTCTTGTCAGCGTTTTGCTTTTGCTTATCCACCGCTTCGGCGATGGAGTCTTGCTCAAAACGGACTCCCATTTCACGAGCCAGTATGAACTCATCTGATGACTCGTTAGCTTCAGTGCGCTGTGAGTGCACTGCAGCAACATCAATATTTTTTTCAGTGAGGGCTTCCGCACTCTCACTGGCATCATCTTCTTCGATATCGATGTTGCCGATATCGGCATCAAACGCAATGACCTCATCGTCAGAGCGTGATGAGCGTGAACCCAATCGGTTTTTTGCTCGCGCGAGTCTTTCCCCCTTAAACCAGAGTTACACTCTAGTAAGGTGGGTACGTGCGGATGGCGTAAGCCATGCACGTAAAACGGTGTAGGAGTCATGGACGCACGCACCGAGTTGTTAATGGCAAACTCTGCCATGGGCAAGAACTCACTCCAACTCTTAAAGGAGTGTACGTATCCTCGAATTATCTCTTCGAGGACACGATTGGCTCGTTCTGTCTGACCATCTGACTCTGGATAATCAGATGTCGACATCTTCAAGCGCGTTCTGAGTGATTTGAACACGGAACGCCAGAAATCAGCCGTAAAGCGTGGATCTCTATCTGATACGAGTTCACGGGGCATCCCATGAAGTCGGAAGATGGTGTCGATAAAGACACAAGCACAGCCACTTGCCGTGATTGACTCTGGTACAGCCACTAGGTATACCATTTTGCTGAATTTGCCAACAAATACAAGAATACCCGTATTCCCGCGTGCGTCTTTGGGTAACCCGAAGACGAAATCCATTGAGATGAAATCCCAGCACTCAGCCGAAACTGGTAGATGCTGTAAAGGTGCACGCCGTGAAGGACTTGACTTCACTCGTTGACAGACTTCGCATGCGCGAACGTACTTTCGCACAAACTGATACTGGCGGGGTCAGTAAAAGTCTCGACTCACCGTGAGATTTGTTTTCTCCCGGCCACGATGTCCTCCTATAGGAGCCTCGTGATACTAGAACATGATCCGCAAACGCAAATCAGTGTCATCTGGAATGACAACACGTGGTGTGTCACCAGTAACGGCTGTATAATACAGTAAACCGTCGCGAGTAGTGTATCGATCTGATGCAGATCGATACGCAGGCGACAATCGTTTCAACGATTCTCGAGATGCTTGGGAGAGATGTGTCAACAACTTCACAATCTCACCATCTTGGGCATACGCCCGCCTCACATCATCATACAACGTTGAAGATGGTATTGTGGACGCCATAATCGCAACAGTGGCTGTCCCACTGTTGGGTTTCACGACTGGTTCAAAGTCGGGCTGACGTGAGTGCATCAGCGACGACATTAAGTCGTCCTGGTTTGTACTCGACCGTAAAGTTGTATTCTGCAAAGAATGACAACCACCGCGCCATTCTTTGTGAAAGGTGCGGGCTGTTCACTGCCGTGCGTAATGACGCATGGTCAGTGTAAACAATGAAGGGTGTATCTCCTGATGGATAGACTCTGAACTTCGCGAGTGCATACTTCATGGCAAGGAGTTCCTTGTCATGCACTGGATAGTTCCGCTCAGCTGGTTGCAGCTGACGCGACTGATAGCAGACGACGCGTTCAACGCCTTCAAGATCGTACTGCATTAATGCACAGCCGATTGCGAAATCGCTGGCATCACAGACCACATGAAATGGCCTGTCCTGATCGGCTATTGCTAGGACTGTGGATTGTATCAAGCTCTGCTTGATACCATCAAAGGAGTGTTCGAGCGTTGGCAACTGAGTGATCTCCGAAGTCAACTTCGGAGGCGCAATCAGATTAAGTGTATAAGCGCCTACACTTGAAACGTCATTGACTGGGACATTTAATGTCTCTGTCATTTCCTGGGGACTTATTCCCTCAGGCCTCGAAGGACTTATTCCTTCGGCTTCCCGGGGACTTATTCCCGCGGGTTTCGGGGAACTTATTTCCGCCGTATTGTATTCTTGGGACTTATTCCCTTTACTTCCTCTAGCTGTGGTTGCGCAACCACAGCGAGATCCTCTACGAAAGACTCTCCAATCGATCTAGGATTATCGTTTCGCTTAACCTGAGCGATCGATTGTTTCTCTTCTAGATGTTCCCCGCTAGGGATACATCTTTGTCCCAGTCCACCCGACTTATTCGAGTGGTGTACCTTCAGCGCAGCCTGTGTTTCCTCACAGCCGCCGGAACTTTGCTCCGAAGTGTAACCGTTTGGTACACTAAGGTTTTGTGCAGTCGTACTAACGACCGTACCACAAGTGAGGCCATCGCACTCACTCGTAGAACATCCACACGCTTGTGGACGCTCCAAAACGTTTATCAGATGGCCATCTGATGGAATAAGCGGCAGGCATCGTTACTGTTCGATGTTGCCAGTTTACCCGTGGTTCGTACCTTCTGAGCCACGGTATTCCAAGGATGACATCAAATTTGTCATCCAAATCCAACACGAAAAAGTCATCGTCATATTGGGTATCTTCCAGCGTGTAGTGGATCTTCACTATACGCTTCATGACGGTTACAGATGCGCCTGTCGCAAGACGTACCGTCATCCTCGTAGGAGGTGTGTCACATTCAACAAACTTGAAGTGACCATCTTCTAGCGGTTGGCGTCGCACAAAATTGTTGGACGCCCCACAATCGACTAGAGCTCGAAGGGACAACTTATTTGTCACTTCGAGTTTCAAGGTAATGAGTGAGATCTCATTACCTAGAGCAGCAACGCACAACGTTTGTGTGTTAGGAGCAACCTTCATCAAGAGGCCTGCAAATTGTCTTGACGTTGCTGGGCCAGTAGGGTGCTTCGCACCTACTGATCCTGTCCGTTTTTTTACGGTCCATCCCGTTGTTGCGTCTTTGCACCAAGAGCGGACCCGCGTCCGTGCCCCTTTCTCATGGGTGGACGGTCATTACGCCCAGTGTTGCGAGGCACTGGACGAGGGGCAATACACTCGTAAGCGTAGTGTCCTGTCTTCTGACATCTGTCGCATCTCTGCAACTTCTTGTAGTCTGTAGAGCGAGCCTTCTCGCTCTCTACATAACAGAGTTCCATCGGCTCTGGACCTCCGCTGTCATATCGTCTCGGTTGACGATATGATGTCGATCTGGCGCGAGCATGTCTCAGACTTCAGTCTTTCTGTTCCGCCATAGAAATGGCTTGTTCTAGTGAGTCCAGTTCAAGTCGGAACAGGTGAGTCTTGATGGGACCATCCGCAAGACCCTGCATGAACACCGAAACCAACGTGCGCTGATCAACCGGGTCGGCACGTATACAACTCGTAAGGTGTCGTATATGTTGCGCGTAAGCGTGCACATCACGCTTACCCTGTTTGATCTTCAAGGGTTCGGTTTGAGCTCTGAACTTAGCTCCCGGCGGTTCAAACGTTTGTCTGAGCCGCGACTTGAAGACTTCCAACGCATATGGGTCGTGCAACTTGAGCCCCAGTGCCCAAGTCTTGGCACGTCCTGCGAGATTTGATTGGGCAAATGCAACTTGCATTTCCCCGTCGTCGATGCGACGCGCCCTTATGGCGTCATCCAATTCGACGAACCATCTCAAGAGGGAGTCCTCTTCGACTCCCCTATACTTGGAGATGTCAATCTTCAAGGTCTCGGGTCGACGCAAGTGCATCGACCCACCAGCAGCAGCCTGCTGCTGTCTCAACAGTTCAAACTGTTGAGCACCCTGTTCTCTCAACAACTCTGCTTGTTGAGAACCTTGTTGGTGAAGCAAGGCTACTTACTTGCGTTCAGCGTCAAGTTCATTTTGAATGAACTTGGCGATAGTAGCATGTTGGACATCTCTATTGAGAGCCTCTAGCATGACGCTAACAGCATGGATGCCCATGGCTGAACCCATCCGTTCAACCGCATCCCATTCGACATCGCTTAAATGGGAGTAGCCATCACGCGTAGCGTGAAAGCTTTGGTCATCTTCATCGTCCAACATATTCGTGTTAGATGTGAACGTGGTCCTTGGACGGACTACGAAGTGCTACCAGGTGTAACGGGGCACCCTGAGGCTTGTACTGGTGACAGTACAAGCTACTTATTCTGATGACAGAATAAGGCGGTGCCTCGGAACTTCACGTACACTCGTACGTGCAGAGGAAGACGGTAAGGAGAAGCGAGTACTTGGTTAAAGTAAAAAGTAGAACTGTATTCATAATAGTCAATGTCTGTTAATAAATCACTATTTATCCTCATCTAACTATGTCTGAATACAAATGTGTATATCAACTATCTGCTCACCACTCATTGCGTGCGTCTGTCGTGGCGCGTCTTCGTTGGTTGATATAATGGCCTATATGAACCAATTAGGAACTACTCGTAAGTGCTGCAGAATATTTGTCCTTATGACAATATTCTGAGAATATAACTCTTACAGTTATATTCTATTAACGATTTGATATAAATTGTTATGTAACGATTCACCCCGTTACACGCACGCAATGAGTGGTGAGCAGATAGTTGATATACACATTTGTATTCAGACATAGTTAGATGAGGATAAATAGTGATTTATTTACAGACATTAACTATTATCAATACAGTTCTACTTTTTACTTTAACCAAGTACTCGCTTCTCCTTACCGTCTTCCTCTGCACGTACGAGTGTACGTGAAGTTCCGAGGCACCGCCTTATTCTGTCATCAGAATAAGTAGCTTGTACTGTCACCAGTACAAGCTTCAGGGTGCCCCGTTACACCTGGTAGCACTTCGTAGTCCGTCCAAGGACCACGTTCACATCTAACACGAATATGTTGGACGATGAAGATGACCAAAGCTTTCACGCTACGCGTGATGGCTACTCCCATTTGAGCGATGTCGAATGGGATGCGGTTGAACGGATGGGTTCAGCCATGGGCATCCATGCTGTTAGCGTCATGCTAGAGGCTCTCAACAGAGATGCCCAACATGCTACTATCGCCAAGTTCATTCTAAATAAACTTGACGCTGAACGCGAGAAAGTAGCCTTGCTTCACCAACAAGGTTCTCAACAAGCAGAGTTGTTGAGAGAACAGGGTGCTCAACAGTTTGAACTGTTGAGACAGCAGCAGGCTGCTGCTGGTGGGTCGATGCACTCTCGTCGACCCGAGACCTTGAAGATTGACATCTCCAAGTATAGGGGAGTCGAAGAGGACTCCCTCTTGAGATGGTTCGTCGAATTGGATGACGCCATAAGGGCGCGTCGCATCGACGACGGGGAAATGCAAGTTGCATTTGCCCAATCAAATCTCGCAGGACGTGCCAAGACTTGGGCACTGGGGCTCAAGTTGCACGACCCATATGCGTTGGAAGTCTTCAAGTCGCGGCTCAGACAAACGTTTGAACCGCCTAGAGCTGAGTTCAGAGCTCAAACCGAACCCTTGAAGCTCAAACAGGGTAAGCGTGATGTGCACGCTTACGCGCCACATATACGACACCTTACGAGTTGTATAAGTGCCGACCCGTTTGATGAACACACGTTGGTTTCGGTGTTCATGCAGGGTCTTGCGGATGGTCCCGTCAAGACTCACCTGTTCCGGCTTGAACTGGATTCACTAGAACGAGCCATTTCTATGGCGGAACAGAAAGACTGAAGTCTGAGACATGCTCGCGCCAGATCGACATCATATCGTCCACCGAGACGATATGACAGCGGAGGTCCAGAGCCGATGGAATTCTGTTATGTAGAGAGCGAAAAGGCTCGCTCTACAGACTACAAGAAGTTGCAGAAATGCAACAGATGTCAGAAGACAGGACACTACGCATACGAGTGTAGTGCCCCTCGTCCAGTGTCTTCTCGCAACACTGGGCGTAATGACCGTCCACCCATGAGAAAGGGGCACGGACGCGGGTCCGCTCTTGGTGCAAAGACGCAACAACGGGATGGACCGTCAAAAAACGGACAGGATCAGTAGGTGCGAAGCACCCTACTGGTCCAGCAGCGTCAAGACAATTTGCAGGCCTCTTGATGAAGGTTGCTCCCAACACACAAACGTTGTGCGTTGCTGCTCTAGGTAATGAGATCTCACTCATTACCTTGAAACTCGAAGTGACAAATAAGTTGTCCCTTCGAGCTCTAGTCGATTGTGGGGCGTCCAACAATTTTGTGCGACGCCAACCGCTAGAAGATGGTCACTTCAAGTTTGTTGAATGTGACACACCTCCTACGAGGATGACGGTACGTCTTGCGACAGGCGCATCCGTAACCGTCATGAAGCGTATAGTGAAGATCCACTACACGCTGGAAGATACCCAATGTGACCGATGACTTTATCGTAATGGATTTGGATGACAAATTTGATGTCATCCTTGGAATACCGTGGCTCAGAAGGTACGAACCACGAGTAAACTGGCAACATCGAACAGTAACGATGCCTGCCGCTTATTCCATAGATGGCCATCTGATAAACGTTTTGGAGCGTCCACAAGCGTGTGGATGTTCTACGAGTGAGTGCGATGGCCTCACTTGTGGTACGGTCGTTAGTACGACTGCACAAAACCTTAGTTTACCAAACGGTTACACTTCGGAGCAAAGTTCCGGCGGCTGTGAGGAAACACAGGCTGCGCTGAAGGTACACCACTCGAATAAGTCGGGTGGACTGGGACAAAGATGTATCCCTAGCGGGGAACATCTAGAAGAGAAACAATCGATCGCTCAGGTTAAGCGAAACGATAATCCTAGATCGATTGGAGAGTCTTTCGTAGAGGATCTCGCTGTGGTTGCGCAACCACAGCTAGAGGAAGTAAAGGGAATAAGTCCCAAGATTACAATACGGCGGAAATAAGTTCCCCGAAACCCGCGGGAATAAGTCCCCGGGAAGCCGAAGGAATAAGTCCTTCGAGGCCTGAGGGAATAAGTCCCCAGGAAATGACAGAGACATTGAATGTACTAGTCAATGACGGATCAAGTGTAGGCGCTTAAACACTTGATCTGATTGCGCCTCCGAAGTTGACTTCGGAGATCACTCAGTTTTCAACGCTCGAACACAAGGTTCTTGCGTGATATGCGTAGTGGCAAAGTCAAGCAGATCTGCGTACTCATCGCTGACGACGAGTGTGTAGCCGACATAAGGTCAGCAACAATGTTTATTAAGAACGAGAGAGTTCTCAGTAGTTCATCGATGGACGAGGGTGTCCTCGATGAAAAGACACGAGTTGAGCGATATGACTCCCAATCGTGGGAATCGCTCAAGACGAATCAAATCTATGAAGATTTGGTTGAATTCAAGGATGTACTCCCTGAAACTGTTCCGTGCGAGTTCCCGAAGGATAAAGGTATTAGACACGAGGTCGAGCTTAAATTAGGCTCGAAGTACCGTGTCATGAAGCAGTGGCCACTGCCTCGTGAACAAGTACTTGCGATCGACAAGTTCTTTGCCGATCGTTTAGCTGCGGGTCATGTGAGGGAATCAACTTCCCCACATAGCTCTCCGACCTTCTGTGTGCGAAAAGCAACAGGAGGGTGGCGGATAGTGCATGCATTTAACAAGTTGAATGCTGCAACGGTACCGGCTCAGGCGCCGATACCAAGGAAGGACGTAATCATTGATGGTGTGTCAAAGAGTACCATCTTTTCGTCCATGGATTTGATGGATGGCTTCTATCAAATCCTTATGCGAGAACGGGACATACCCTATACCGCAGTGAGCACGACTATCGGCATGCTATGGGAATGGCTAGTGATGCCACAAGGGCTTAGTAATGCCCCTGTCACGTTCAATAGATGTGTATCAACTGTTGAGGCCAGTACGAGAATTCGCACCGAGATATTTCGATGACGTCTTTATTCATAGTCGGGCTATGATGGAAAGTTGGACGTTGAGGTTCACAGGTACCACGTCCGACAGGTTCTTACAATCATGCGAAAGCATCAATTGTATGCAAACCTCAAGAAGTGTATATTTGCAGCAAGCGAAATACCACTTCTTGGGTGCATCGTTGGTAAGAACGGTGTACGTCCTGATCCCAATAAGATCAAGGCGATCACCGACTGGCCTGTGCCAGTTGATGTCAAAGGTCTTCGAAAGTTCCATAGCTTGGTGGCGTACTTGCACAAGTATTCACGCAATTACGCCGAGATGACTGTACACCTCTCTCGTTTGTTGAAAAAGAACGAGAGGTGGTTATGGAACGCTGAATGTCAGCGCTCCTTTGATGGTATCAAGCAGAGCTTGATACAATCCCCAGTCCTAGCAATAGCCGATCAGGACAGGCCATTTCATGTGGTCTGTGATGCCAGCGATTTCGCAATCGGCTGTGCATTAATGCAGTACGATCTTGAAGGCGTTGAACGCGTCGTCTGCTATCAGTCGCGTCAGCTGCAACCAGCTGAGCGGAACTATCCAGTGCATGACAAGGAACTCCTTGCCATGAAGTATGCACTCGCGAAGCTCAGAGTCTATCCATCAGGTAATACACCCTTCATTGTTTACACTGACCATGCGTCATTACGCACGGCAGTGAACAGCCCGCACCTTTCACAAAGAATGGCGCGGTGGTTGTCATTCTTTGCAGAATACAACTTTACGGTCGAGTACAAACCAGGACGACTTAATGTCGTCGCTGATGCACTCTCACGTCAGCCCGACTTTGAACCAGTCGTGAAACCCAACAGTGGGACAGCCACTGTTGCGATTATGGCGTCCACAATACCATCTTCAACGTTGTATGATGATGTGAGGCGGGCGTATGCCCAAGATGGTGAGATTGTGAAGTTGTTGACACATCTCTCCCAAGCATCTCGAGAATCATTAAAACGATTGTCGCCTGCGTATCGATCTGCATCAGATCGATACACTACTCGCGACGGTTTACTGTATTATACAGCCGTTACTGGTCACACACCACGTGTTGTCATTCCAGATGACACTGATTTGCGTTGGCGGGTCATGTTCTAGTATCACGATGCTCCTATAGGAGGACATCGTGGCCTGGAGAAAACAAATCTCACGGTGAGTCGAGACTTTTACTGGCCCCGCCGGTATCAGTTTGTGCGAAAGTACGTTCGCGCATGCGAAGTCTGTCAACGAGTGAAGTCAAGTCCTTCACGGCGTGCACCTTTACAGCATCTACCAGTTTCGGCTGAGTGCTGGGATTTCATCTCAATGGATTTCGTCTTCGGGTTACCCAAAGACGCACGCGGGAATACGGGTATTCTTGTATTTGTTGGCAAATTCAGCAAAATGGTATACCTAGTGGCTGTACCAGAGTCAATCACGGCAAGTGGCTGTGCTTGTGTCTTTATCGACACCATCTTCCGACTTCATGGGATGCCCCGTGAACTCGTATCAGACAGAGATCCACGCTTTACGGCTGATTTCTGGCGTTCCGTGTTCAAATCACTCAGAACGCGCTTGAAGATGTCGACATCTGATTATCCAGAGTCAGATGGTCAGACAGAACGAGCCAATCGTGTCCTCGAAGAGATAATTCGAGGATACGTACACTCCTTTAAGAGTTGGAGTGAGTTCTTGCCCATGGCAGAGTTTGCCATTAACAACTCGGTGCATGCGTCCATGACTCCTACATAGTTTTACGTGCATGGCTTACGCCATCCGCACGTATCCACCTTAATAGAGTATAACTCTGGTTTAAGGGGGGAAAGACTCGCGTGAGCAAAAAACCGATTTGGTTCACGCTCATCACGCTCTGACGATGAGGTCATTGCGTTTGATGCCGATATCGGCAAGATCGATATCGAAGAAGATGATGCCAGTGAGAGTGCGGAAGCCCTCACTGAAAAAAATATTGATGTTGCTGCAGTGCACTCACAGCGCACTGAAGCTAACGAGTCATCAGATGAGTTCATACTGGCTCGTGAAATGGGAGTCCGTTTTGAGCAAGACTCCATCGCCGAAGCGGTGGATAAGCAAAAGCAAAACGCTGACAAGAATGGAAGGGCAAACACTCTTTTACTTAATAAAGGTGACTTAGTCCTACTGTCTACGGTTAATCTACCAAAGCATGTAGTGACTAACTTGGGTAGCAGTAAACTACTACCCAAGTACATCGGCCCATTTCGTGTATTGCACCGCCTAGGCAATGCATACACGATCGAGTTGCCACGTAAGATGCGAACGCATCCCACGTTTTACGTTGGTCGGCTTAAGCCGTACCATCAGTACGCTGCTTCTTCCGATGAAGAACGCCCTTGCGCTCAAGTATCTCGCAGAGAGCCTTGTGCTCCAGATGGTGGATATCAACAAGGGTATGAAGAGCAGTTATCTCATCCCGAGACCGATCAACAATCCCACGAGCTACCCTTATCTCGTTACACAGAGATGTCAAAGATCTCTCGTTCTTAAGCTGAGCAAAAGCAAACTCAGCTCGATGCTTCAAGACAGTTTCCGCCAGTTGAAGAGGCCTGTCCCGCTCATGCTCGAGGTCGCCGTGCAACGCAAGGGTTACGCGATCAAAGAAGCTCTCGGGAACACACGGATCCCCATGATCGTGTAGAGAGCGTCTTTCCTCCTCCTCCACCTCCATTAGAGGACTCTCGCGGTGGCCAGCGCTATCTGGTTAGAGCAGCTGTTGAACCACCGCGATGTGAACGGACGTCGGACGAGTTATCTCGTCCGGTGGCGCGGCTATCCCCCATCCTGGGATACTTGGGAGCCCCGCTCCCAACTGATGATCGACGTACTGGGTCTGGTTGAGCAGTACGACGCGGCATATCCTGTGCCACAGAAGGACCGCCGGAGGAAGTCTTCCCGGCACGGTCGTAAAGGGATTTCAGGCTGTCAATCCCTTCGTACATCTCAGTAGAGATACGTACGCGCCACCACGGGCTAGTAAGGAGGTAAGCCTCCTTAGGTGCTCGTGCAGAGTTGTTCACACAACATGGGCACGAGTCTCCCCAAGAGAGGCAGGGTAATCCTTTCTCCCTTGACAGACGATGCAGCTTGTAGCGTGCACCTGCCGGGGTTCTCTTCTCAACTAATCACGAGCTTTGATAAGTTTGTCGTTCCAAACGTCACGACCTACATCCTCAAGGTTATGGATGTAGGCGTTCCACGCTTGAAGTAGTGAGGGACCATCACGCTTGTGATTCCCACTGTACCATCGATGCTTTCTTTAATCATCGATGAAGAATTCATTCTCAGCGCGATAGTTTTTTGCGCTGGGGTCAAGGTGATGGATCCTTGACGAATCGAACAATCGAGTTCGATAACGATCACTCGTCGTCACCGACAAGTGATCCATGACGGATTTTGGGGGCATCCATGCCTTCTTCTCGGGAGCAAGACGCAACACGTTGCGGTCCCTCTCTTCCTGCGACGTGCCGACAGAAGGACTGGCACCTCGTTGCGAAGTGGTGTCCATAGGAGAACCGACACCACTGTGAGCGCCCGAGTCTTGCGACCTCGAGCGCCTACGCTTCGGCGATGGTTCATCTGATTCATCAGACGAACCAAAGATGCTACGACGCATAGCATCATCCATGCCACGCTTGGCAGGCGGCTTGGATTCGATCGCCGTCGATACGGATCCGTCTTCCGTATCAGGAGAGTATGAGACACCGAGCTCATACTCTGTGAAGACATAAGTGTCTTCATTACGAGCGTCTGCATCACCAGGTGACACAGGCTGAGTCGCTTCAGCAACCGATAAAACGTCAGTTGCAGCGGTTTCTGCTTCGGCGTCCGCACAGAAACGTGCAGACGCACTCTCAGCGGCTTTGTTCGTGCACCGCATGGACTTGTTTTACCATGCGATGAAACTGATGGACTGTGGACTCGAACCGACAGGTGCAAACCATGTCCCAAATGATTTGGGACGAGTATCCATTCAGTCAATCAGTCACTAAAGTGATTGATGGTTAAGGGGGGGTGATGTAACGGGGTGAACCGTTACAGAACAATTTATAAGAATTTGTTAATAGAATATAACTGTAAGAGTTATATTCTCAGAATATTGTCATAAGGACAAATATTCTGTAGCACTTACGAGTAGTTCCTAATTGGTTGATATAGGCCATTATATCAACCAACGAAGACGCGCCACGACAGACGCACGCAATGAGTGGTGAGCAGATTGTCGATATACACATTTGTATTCAGACATAGTTAGATGAGGATAAATAGTGATTTATTAACAGACATTTTCTATGCTAAATACAGTTCTACTTTTTACGTTAACCAAGTACTCGCTTCTTCTTACCGTCTTCCTCTGCACGTACGAGTGTACGTGAAGTTCCGAGGCACCGCCTTATTCTGTCATCAGAATAAGTAGCTTGTACTGTCATCAGTACAAGCTTCAGGGTGCCCCGTTACACCTGGTAGCACTTCGTAGTCCGTCCAAGGACCACGTTCACATCTAACACGAATATGTTGGACGATGAAGATGACCAAATCTTTCACGCTACGCGTGACGGCTACTCCCATTTGAGCGATGTCGAATGGGATGCGGTTGAACGGGTGGGTTCAGCCATGGGCATCCATGCTGTTAGCGTCATGCTAGAGGCTCTCAACAGAGATGCCCAACATGCTACTATCGCCAAGTTCATTCTAAATGAACTTGACGCTGAACGCGAAAAAGTAGCCTTGCTTCACCAACAAGGTTCTCAACAAGCAGAGTTGTTGAGAGAACAGGATGCTCAACAGTTTGAACTGTTGAGACAGCAGCAGGCTGCTGCTGGCGGGTCGATGCACTCTCGTCGACCCGAAACCTTGAAGATTGACATCTCCAAGTATAGGGGAGTCGAAGAGGACTCCCTCTTGAGATGGTTCGTCGAATTGGATGACGCCATAAGGGCGCGTCGCATCGACGACGGGGAAATGCAAGTTGCATTTGCCCAATCAAATCTGGCAGGACGTGCCAAGACTTGGGCACTGGGGCTCAAGTTGCAAAACCCATATGCGTTTGGGGCTTTTAGACTCTTCCCACCCCGCCCTTCAAACACCTTTGAACCCCCCTGAGGCTGAGTTCAGACCCCCACCCCAACCTAAAAAAAGAAACAAGAAGGGGGGAGGTGTCGCCCCACCTACACCACACCACCTACACCCCTCTCGAGGTCTATACCCCCCCCCCCCCCTGGTGAACAACAGGGTTTTGGTTTGGTTGTTGGTGGGTCGCTTCGAGCCACCCCCCCCCCCACTTTACCTTTACTCACTTCAACACGCCATTTCTATGGCGGAACAGAAAGACTGAAGTCTGAGACATGCTCGCGCCAGATCGACATCATATCGTCCACCGAGACGATATGACAACGGAGGTCCAGAGCCGATGGAACTCTGTTATGTAGAGAGCGAGAAGGCTCGCTCTACAGACTACAAGAAGTTGCAGAGATGCGACAGATGTCAGAAGACAGGACACTACGCTTACGAGTGTATTGCCCCTCGTCCAGTGCCTCGCAACACTGGGCGTAATGACCGTCCACCCATGAGAAAGGGGCACGGACGCGGGTCCGCTCTTGGTGCAAAGACGCAACAACGGGATGGACCGTCAAAAAACGGACAGGATCAGTAGGTGCGAAGCACCCTACTGGTCCAGCAACGTCAAGACAATTTGCAGGCCTCTTGATGAAGGTTGCTCCCAACACACAAACGTTGTGCGTTGCTGCTCTAGGTAATGAGATCTCACTCATTACCTTGAAACTCGAAGTGACAAATAAGTTGTCCCTTCGAGCTCTAGTCGATTGTGGGGCGTCCAACAATTTTGTGCGACGCCAACCGCTAGAAGATGGTCACTTCAAGTTTGTTGAATGTGACACACCTCCTACGAGGATGACGGTACGTCTTGCGACAGGCGCATCTGTAACCGTCATGAAGCGTATAGTGAAGATCCACTACACGCTAGAAGATACCCAATATGACCGATGACTTTTTCGTAATGGATTTGGATGACAAATTTGATGTCATCCTTGGAATACCGTGGCTCAGAAGGTACGAACCACGGGTAAACTGGCAACATCGAACAGTAACGATGCCTGCCGCTTATTCCATAGATGGCCATCTGATAAACGTTTTGGAGCGTCCACAAGCGTGTGGATGTTCTACGAGTGAGTGCGATGGCCTCACTTGTGGTACGGTCGTTAGTACGACTGCACAAAACCTTAGTGTACCAAACGGTTACACTTCGGAGCAAAGTTCCGGCGGCTGTGAGGAAACACAGGCTGCGCTGAAGGTACACCACTCGAATAAGTCGAGTGGACTGGGACAAAGATGTATCCCTAGCGGGGAACATCTAGAAGAGAAACAATCGATCGCTCAGGTTAAGCGAAACGATAATCCTAGATCGATTGGAGAGTCTTTCGTAGAGGATCTCGCTGTGGTTGCGCAACCACAGCTAGAGGAAGTAAAGGGAATAAGTCCCAAGATTACAAATACGGCGGAAATAAGTTCCCCGAAACCCGCGAGAATAAGTCCCCGGGAAGCCGAAGGAATAAGTCCTTCGAGGCCTGAGGGAATAAGTCCCCAGGAAATGACAGAGACATTGAATGTACTAGTCAATGACGGATCAAGTGTAGGCGCTTATACACTTGATCTGATTGCGCCTCCGAAGTTGACTTCGGAGATCACTCAGTTTCCAACGCTCGAACACAAGGTTCTTGCGTGATATGCGTAGTGGCAAAGTCAAGCAGATCTGCGTACTCATCGCTGACGACGAGTGTGTAGCCGACATAAGGTCAGCAACAATGTTTATTAAGAACGAGAGAGTTCTCAGTAGTTCATCGATGGACGAGGGTGTCCTCGATGAAAAGACACGAGTTGAGCGATATGACTCCCAATCGTGGGAATCGCTCAAGACGAATCAAATCTATGAAGATTTGGTTGAATTCAAGGATGTACTCCCTGAAACTGTTCCGTGCGAGTTCCCGAAGGATAAAGGTATTAGACACGAGGTCGAGCTTAAATTAGGCTCGAAGTACCGTGTCATGAAGCAGTGGCCACTGCCTCGTGAACAAGTACTTGCGATCGACAAGTTCTTTGCCGATCGTTTAGCTGCGGGTCATGTGAGGGAATCAACTTCCCCCATAGCTCTCCGACCTTCTGTGTGCGAAAAGCAACAGGAGGGTGGCGGATAGTGCATGCATTTAACAAGTTGAATGCTGCAACGGTACCGGCTCAGGCGCCGATACCAAGGAAGGACGTAATCATTGATGGTGTGTCAAAGAGTACCATCTTTTCGTCCATGGATTTGATGGATGGCTTCTATCAAATCCTTATGCGAGAACGGGACATACCCTATACCGCAGTGAGCACGACTATCGGCATG